GCAAATTATGGGGGGAAAGTTGGCTTGGAGGCCTATTTGATCTCTTCGTGCGCAATATAACACTTTGGTGATTCGAACCGGTCATATTGTCAAGATGAAGCTCCTGACCGCAGAACAGAAATTGCCTAGAAATTTCGTAAAAGGGGTTTTTTGACTTCATAACTTTCGATCAGTGACCACTCTGGAGCCCTGACCTAAATCCCATGAATGTCTCCATGTGGTCAGCCTCTAATATGAAAGCATCCTTTAGCTCAAACAAGAGAAGAAATAATCTCGAAAATGCTTACCATTAGCAAAAAGCCGGGACCAACTCGATGACCCTAACTGCGTGCCACCGTCAATGCTGTCCATCGTCGTCTCTGGGGTAGGGCGAAAGCAGAAAGCAACAGATCCCAGTTTAAATGTACAGTTTTGATAAGAAACTAGTGATGAACGCTTTGATGAAATTGGTTTGCTTTATTGGCTTTCTATTCGTTTTCTGCGATGTGATGTCTGTGTAATCATAATTTTGGCCCACCCTGTAGTTATAGCCTGCAAAGAAGGCCTATGTGGAGTTTGTATTGACTTGATGTTGTTTGTTAACTGCTTTTTTTTCGCCACAGTACGCGTTCCGAAAGTCTCACAAGATTGGCAATTTATGGACAAAACTTCAGTCTCGGAGGAGACTCAAACCCGTACTTGTGCTTTCCGGGCACCGTGCTCTATCCCTTACACTAACGAGACCCCGCTTGCCCGTGCCTTCTCAATGGCTTATGGGCTTCCTACCCGAAAAGCACAAGTACGGGTTCGACTCCCGTCCGAGACTGAAGTTTTGTCCATAAATCGCCAATCTTGTGAGCCTATGTGGAGTGTTTCACGCTATTATAGAGAGCAAGCATTTTGCTCTTCCATTGTCGAATCACCTGTATCGCCTGTCGTCCCGTCGATCATCGATTTCCTCGAAGGGTTGGCAGTAGCGTATCCATTCTGTTTTGTCGTGAAACAAAATAGTCTGGTGGATCGTATTCGCTCGAGGGACACGGGCCAAACCACTCAATTCGCTTTCATGAAGAAGTCTGACCATCGGGCCTGCGGTCGACCTGGTGTTCTTTTGACGTTCCGAAGGATAAATTCACTAACTACCGTCGTCCAACAGTTATCACAATTTCGCATTACGTGTTAGGCCTTCGTGATGTTGCCGTATATATTATTGGAATTATTTATTATATTAATTATTAAAGAATAGCTTGCCGTAATATCGATTGATTTCGCTTAATAAACCCCAGCCGAGCTTTTCACGCTGACGACAAAATCTACCTACGCCCACTGATCAGTGAACGACAACAGCTGTTCAATTTCAATCACATTACGCCCACATTACGTCACAGCCCAATTTTAATACACTGAGGCTTCCAACATACACAAAGCGGCAATCAGGCAAGATTTATGACAGTGTTTAACGATTACATGCATAAGATTGTATCAGTCAACTACAAACTTTGATAAGTGCTATCTGATTGAAAAAAATTTGAATATAAAGGAAAAAAACAATGATAACTTCAGAGAGTGAAACAACATGAAGCAGATTATTATAGATGATATTGTTTGACACTTTATTATAGCAAATAATAGCAAATTTTAGATTTGTATCACAACATGCAAGTAAAATACGCATTTGGCTCATATACCCATCACTTGGAAACTAGCAATATACAGGGCAAAACAAAGATCACACATTTTGCGACAAAGATACAAGAATTGGAACTATTTCTGAACGGGAATGAAGAAATAGGAGGGATGCTCAAGCCAAAACAGATTTCAGGTTAGTTTATAATTATGGATGATCTACCGACTATTTCTCAAAAGTCAAATTGCTACTCTTTGGTCAATCGGTTTGCGATGAGCCATAAATCAGGACCCAGTAAAGACGGCAGGCCACTTTTCGCGCTTCTTCAAACTACACAACACTACGTAGAAGCCACCTGTCATCACGCTGCTTCCGTTGATTCTATCCTTTTTTNTTTTTTAGCATGGATGGTACAAGGCTAAAGGCCCAGTTTTAGTTACTGGATAGTTCAGGTTCCAACCTAATATCTCTACTAATACCGAGGTGTTTGAAGAGTTCAGAAAAATGCGCCAGTCACGCCCAATTAGGTGAACTGTTGCATGAAAACCCAATTTGGTTCAGTATTCAAACAGTATTGTTTCTAACTTTTTCATCATTTCGAACTGTTCTTAGCTTGCACGCCTCCTAGTCAGAAGCGAATTATTACATTATTACAAATAGACAATCTCGACACGCGCAAAAACCAAGAGGTGCAGATTAGAGAGGACATAGCAAGTGTTTTTTAATCTCAAATTTTTAAAAGAATCGCATATAGAAAAGAAAAGAAAAGAATCTCAGCGATGTCGAGTCGAGACGCTTTCATAAAGCTGCTGAGAAAGCTCTGTTCATCACTGGACCAGATATGAAAATGGAGGACTAGCTCGTACGGGCTTTGGTTCAGAGAACGAATAGCTGAGGACATAAGGGTTAGATATTCTTCTGAAGAATCTGACAAAAATATGTGTAACTCCTCATACAGTCACGTGATTATGCACGAAAAGACAATTTAATTTCATTTAGAGAACATAGACCTTAGGGATATATAGGCAATTTCCGGTACTGCATGACAGGGCACTTAATGATAAATTTGAAATCTATAGACAATTTGTTTAGCTATTTCCACATACTGTACTTGCAGATCAAATCAAAGAACTCGTCGCCGAAGCAGCTTTGAACGTCACCTGAAAGCAACGGTACAGTCGATGGCCCCTCAATCGATTTGAACACAGGCTTTTGGGCCTACGATACGCGACGAATAACAAATATCCAATTTCGATGCTAGCTCACGCCACGGGAAGCATATCCTTTGTTACAGGGCTGTGGATGGGGTATAAGCAAAGGCACCACCAGCAAATATTGGACACCAAAGAGTCAGACTGAGCTAACGTTTTACCCATTATGAACACCCAAGCGTACTCTTCGAAATTACCGTACTGCGTAGCTCTCACCCCTCATGATGGGCGTTCAAGAGGGATACTAAGCATGCGACGTATAAGTGGGTCAATTTAGTGTGTAAGTGTTTGCTCCAGATAATGTAGCCACTTATAGAAGGTGTGATATTGATGAAAGCAATAAGACTGAATCCAATAAGGCGGCTAGACAAGGACGGCATGCGGTAGCGGAGCAACTGACTTGCTGTTTCATTGCGAGATCCCAGCCATGCCAACCTGTAGAGATCGTCCTGCGATTTGAGTGCCGTTCAGTGCTGCGATCGCATTACATGCGTCCGCATAATTCATCATTGTAACAAAAGCGTAGCCTTTACACTTGGTCGTGGCAAAATCACGGATCACCTGAAACGGAGCCAAAATGCTTGTGTAATCGGAAAAAAATGGAGGCAAAATAATGTAAATTTTCTGGTCCCTGTCGACAAAACGAAAATTAAAAAGCACCTGATCAACTCAATCCTTTAATCTCAGTTACACCACACCAAAACTCTTTGCATATGCAGAAATGTGATCTTACATTCAACCTAACTCTTCAATGGTGGATATTGAGAATGACCATACCCAATTTTCATTTCATGGACCCGGGCCTGAGTTAGCATTTCGCCTTCTGGGACTAGAGTTAGGGTTAAGCAAAAGAATGGAAAGCGATATTTTTACGAAGATTATATTCATTCACAAACTACCTTCAAACGTTTGTACGGTCCCAAAATGAAAAGCTGTCCAAGTTATGAAACCGACCTTCACGCTAAGAACCGCTCCGAAAGGTCCGAATAATTGCCAAAGGAGGCTATCCTCGGTGTCCGGTCCTAAGTTGTATGCAAAAAGACAGAAACCTGCTGGTTCTGTAGCTGCGGCTGTCGGTGTTAGTGCAGCCAGTTGTGCGGTTGCTGGTGCAGTTGCCGCTGCCATACCTGAAACAGCAGCTATTTATTCAAAGTAATCAACGTAGACAAATCCCTGACAATTTAACTCAATAGTGCGGTACGTAAAAGACTGAGAATGGAGTAGTGTCAACAGCGTCGCTAAAAGGTTTGGATAAGGTACCGAATTCGTGGTCGCATCCGGTCGAGGCAGTAAAGCTTTTTATGTTCCAGGCTTGCTAGATCATGCTGCCCGAAAAAATCAATGATTCTTCCTACAGTGAATTGTTACCGAACATAGAGATATTTGATTCACTTAGACCTGAGAAATAATGCTGTCAAGCGCTAGAAGGTTTAGTCACAAAAGTTGAGCAATCGGTTGCATGAATGCTAAGAGAGAAGCCATCAGTATAATGGAACGACAATTGTTTATTTATAGGATACATTCTAGCTCTAACAATCCATTTTCACCTTAGCATCATTTGCTAGTCAACGCCTACCCCGCTAACTTACTGGAACGAAAGCTGAGAAGCTTGTTACTTGAACTGGGAGCATTCATACTGTAATGAGTCATTTCATAAGAACTGCAATTTTTTACCTTTTCATCATAGAGTATTAGAAAAACACTTTTTATCTGACAAATAATCTCCATTATCTACATGTCATTTCCACCTAAATTACAGACGGATTAACAATCTTCCTTTCCGTAATTAAGCTGTGCTTAACGAAAATGAAAATATTTTTCTACCCCAGTCTTGACGTTGTTCGAAGAATCAGTATTTTTGAATCAATTTGGATACCCTTACTTATAAGAGTATCATGCGGTATTGTTTGCTGAGAATCATGGTCCATCAACGGTCCAACAAAACCACTCCCCATCCAACGTAACCTAGAATTCAAAACGGTCCCTTTGGGCCGAATATTATCCTTAAGCGCATATTTTGTCGTGAGAAATGTTGAATTCTCTTTTATTGTAGAGCTGAGACGTCCTAATTTCTCCTATATAATATTTTGCCCACTTATGGGGACTTATAGGGGGAGGGGGTTGAAAACCTTGAAGTTCCAGGGAACTGAAACTCACAAGTAGGAACGATTCGGAGGGCCAACAGGATGACCCAAAACACTAGGATAATGTTCTTCGAAACGGAAGTGGGAGCACTAAACGCTGGCTTAATGGCTTTTGTCCCAAGGTGTTTACAGCTACAGCCGACTTGAAATCCACTGAGACTAATCTTTTAGCACTGAACTTCGCGGGCGGGCAACCACTACATGCAAAATCGTAGCCATGGAACACGCTGAATTCAAGAAATAGCTGCAATCATGGATGCTTCCGTCACACTCCATCCTACGCGTCGTCTCCCATTGCGATGACCATTAATAATTTTTAGCAGAATGATCAAACATTGCCGCCAAAAACTTCCCTTACTCAGAAATGCAAACCCACACATGCGTGGCACCAGGGAGAATGTAAAAACCGACGAGATGATTAGACTGAAACAATACCACTGATGTTCTTGTTCCCTGCCACGAGATACTACCACTGTTCAAAAAATTCTGACTCGGAGAAGCAGCCGACAAACAGCGCACTCGGAAAACATCCAGAATTGTCCCTGATTGGTATTGTTGCGAATCAAAAGCGACATATTTTGGTGGTGCTTAGTGTGCGTGTGTAGGCCATCGATCGCAGAGCCGCTCTTCTCTCTTTGAAATTGAGCCTATTATTATGGCACGCGAGCGAGCGCGCGTTTGCACAAATGCAAAGTACACCGGTTTGGCCTCCAAAAAGTGCCCATGTTTCACGATAAGAGCAGCGCTCGTCATCCGCAGTACCATGTTTGGATGATGGATACCCTCATTATGAACACTCTATTGCATCTCGCTGACTGCCGATAGCTCTTGAGAAATCCGACTGAATTATTTGAGGAAAAAACGACGATGCAACATCCAAGCGATTTCATCCTTCAAGTATCACATAAAAAGCAGGCCTTCCTATTCACAATCAAAAAAATTGATGTAGCCCGCGGAGAATAGACTAAAGCTTCGCAGTCGAGTACTCATAAAAAAGAAAATTGACCTGCCAGTGCATTCATCTGGCTCATTTGAAGCATAGTCGTGAGATAATCAGCAGTGGCTTGCGCTGTCAAAGCGGGTGCAGCAGCTCCTGGTATTGCAGGTGCAAGAGGAGAGTACCTAAAAAGATGCTTCTCTGAAACTCTTTTCTGATGGAAGTGGAACAAAGGAAAAATAGGTGAAGAATGATCCCGCACCTATATTTTGCTGCGAGAGGAGCATGGTGTATGGGTCCAATAGCAGACCGAAGAGGAGCAGCAGCTCCCAGTAATGAAAGAGGCACCAAATTTGAAGCAGCTACTTGCTGAGCTGCCTCAAGCTGAAAAACTTCAAGGTAGAAAAGTCGGGCGTATATATGTATATGAGCATCGTGTACAAAGAGGTGCGCCTTGCCCGCAGTTATTTATCCTTCCGACATAAGCCAAAATCTCGATTCTGTCAAAATTTTGCCCTCAAGTTACCCTTTCACCACTCGTTGTGAAAAAAGTCCAGAGTGCGTGTTACGGGTACCGTGTGCTTGATGAAGCTATTTTATCGAGGTCCCTAACGGATTGCCCTCAATGATGGTCACGTGTGTTGAACGAAATTATTACATATACATCTACTTCACCTGAAAAAGTAACAGTCAGCTTCACGCAAAAACCACTGCAAATGTGAATGACTGTAGCGGCGTATGGGTGGTGAACCTTATGGAACGCACAACGGTGTGCGCTAAACGAGGGTGTCATTAGGTCTAGGACCCGAGAGCGGCCAGAGTCATTCAAAATAAAAACGCTCCGAGGAATGAAGGAACGAGTTTCAAAGTGTTACTGAGTAGAAAGTTTCAAACAAATCGAAATTTGTGACCGACTTTAGGAAAATGTAAGGACCAGACCGATGCAGGCTTCGAAAAGAGCCACTGAAGGAACGCATAGCAAAAAAATCGCCCCCACGGATGTTAAAAACAACGCTATTCATCGCTGTTAGACTGCTTTTGTGTATTATGTTTTATTTCGGCAAAATCTCACCTCTTGTAGAACGCTTTTAGCAGTGTTAGTGGCAGGATTATTGGCGAATTTCACGGTAATCTGGTCCACACAGCCGGGTGGTATTGTGCCATTTAAAGTTTGAATAGCAAGCTCAGCCTCTTCTTTTTTGTCGAACCGAACGAAGCCGACACCTTTCGACAGTCCTAACAAAAAATCCAGTTAAAAAACAGCCGCAACTAAAACACCTAAATCCATTACTCAAGTCGGCGAGACACCGTTTGTTTGATACTCTATGCATCTAATTCATTGAGCTATATGCTACATTACCCATTTATACCTTGGAGATTCAGTAAGTAAAGAAAATTACAAGAAGAGCAGATAAAAGAAATTAGCTGCACTGGCTAGCATATAACAAAAACAAGTGAAAACGACGCACTGTCAACTGCAGAAGTAAGTTGTGATCATTGTGGCCAGCGAGATTGAAGGGTGATACTCGTTTTTTATTGCTCCTTGGAGTTTTGAGTTCGTAGTTTACATTTGCATATTCCTACTCATTACTCTTCAACTCGAGGAGCATAACCAATAGAGAGCCTACTTGTACTACAAAGATCGCGACACCCACTACTTCATGAAGCAACTTTGAATGCAATAGTTCAGTAAAACAGGACACAGAATGGCAAAGTAAATATGGACTCACACAACTTTTGCAATTTTCAGGTTTGTATTAGACAAAGTATTTTGTAAGAATTTTGTAAATTTTTATTCTTAAAAATGGATTCACTGCAGCCCCAATGTGTTTCTCCCTTAGATTACTTCGTGTTTCACACTCTTGAAAGTGGAAAAAAACCTGCCTGTGATATTGTCCGATAGAATTCGTGATGTAATGATTTGTCCAAATGGTCGGAAAATCGCTTCCAATTCGTTCAAAGTCATCGACTTTGGGATGCCAGATACATAAAGATTGGAGCCTTTGATGTTTTCATTACTTGGCCTTGCATAGGAAACCTACAAAACGAAGTCTTAAAGATCGTCATTGGTCATTTTCAGCAACGTGCATCACATCGAAGACAGAATGGCAAAGTAAAACTCAAAACACTATCATTCAAGGCCTAAACTGTTGTGGAATACAGTTTCCACTCATTCTTCAATCATAGGCTTCTGTCGGTTCGACACACCTAGAGAGGAACTGCAGAAGAAGAGTTGAGGCAATTTGGGAAAAGCATCGCAGAATGATAAAGACAGACTCAGAAAATTTCGAAGTATCAACGACAGATATAGAGTGGATATGAATGTTTCAATAAAATGACTAAGCTTTTGGTAAAGATTAACATCTAGCCCACTTTGATGACTTTATCAAAAAATAAAGAACTCCATTCTATTTATTTTATTGAACGATTGGGAGTTAGTAAAGGGCTTTCGGAACTACGAAGCGTTCAATATACCTTTAGCATGCGTGCTCCCGTTTGATGGGATTTCCCGAGGAATTCGTATATGAAATAATGATTTTCGACCCTAGGGGAAGTTAGGGACATTGACGTCTGTTTTTGAGGTGCTCAAGCAAAGCGGTTTTAGGACCGTGAAAAGGAAACGAATGTAAAATGAAGAATGTAAAATGTTCAGCACCCCCATCATCATCCTGTTGCAACTCTCTTACACTTTCCCCCTTCGTCCCCAACTCGTTTGAACTCATTGATGAGGAGGATTAGTGAACGGCAAGGAGCAAGATTAATTAAGGAATTACACCCAAAGGCCCCGGCTTCACAGTAAAACACTTGTCCTTTAAAGGTATTACTTTCATCAGTGGTACGTCCCTTGTTCTGTGGATGAAACTTCTCGAAACGAGAAACTGAACCCTTCGCCATACATCTGTGGGATTTCGTGCGTGTCTGGTACCAATTATGCGATCCCGGAAGGATGCAACTTTTGGATTCCTTGGGCAGGTATCGATCCAGGATTTGATTCCCGAAACATGGCTAAGGTGTTTCATTTCGATCCATTTATCCTTTTCGGGTTGTGCCTACCCATCAGAGCTCCACCGTTTGGGCACATCTTTTTTGCCTTTATGGGAAGTTCCTCATATTAGTATTTTGCCTGTTATAGCTCGGTGTATAAAGTGTAATAGTGTAGGATGATTCAGGTGAGCCGCCATAGTCTGACGGAAGAAATGGAGACCTAGTGCAGGAATCGGACACCCTAAAGAGGGTAGTACACTAGCAGCCGATGTTCCCTCTGCTTCGAAGTGGAGCAGCGAAGAGAGCAAAATTATCGTAGCATTCGTGGTGGCGGCGTCTCTCGTTGCTATGATGGTTGCTTCAGTCAAACTCTAATAATTTCTGGTCGTCCAAGCCAAATGTCTTTTAATTTCAAGACCCTTAGATTTGCTTGAAAGCGCTTCTTTCTTGTTCCCTAGGTGGTGAGTTACGTCTGTACAATATATACTCCTTCGAGTCTGAAGTGTTAACTGCGTTCCCCTGGTTCAGAGCCTTATCAGTACTCTCCCACTATGGTCAACGTTAAAATTGAGCAAAGGGTATGTACATTCGAGCTTGAGGTTCGCTCAAGACCGATGCTGAATGCGTTTTAACAATTAGCAATTATCTATTGAGTGGAGTGCTTTAAAATTCTAACAGCACTCTTCGCAAAAGCTGATTTTTCGACAGCCCATTTACTTAATCCAGTTTTTGGTTTACATATCAATCTTCAGAAATGAACACCTGGGCATACCACTGTGTGTGAAATCAGAAAGAAAACTGCCCAATTTTCGATGCTTATACGGGCATCCCACTGACGCTAATGCATTCACCCTTTCACAACCCTCAATCTTCTCCGAAACACGAAACATTTAGCCGTTTTCACATCGCTAGGCCCATACAGTATGCACAGCCGCCGTTTGTAATCCTATACAAAGTAAATAACACACAAAACCCGCACGTTCACTACCCTGCATATGGCCTTATTCACATCCGTATTCAGTGATGGGTTTGACTGAACGAACCAAGCCAAAGCTTGTTGGAAAAACAAGAAAATCGTGATCAGATTTCCATGCTGATGCACGAATTATGCTGTATCGGCTTACCCACAAAGCATGCAAGCGCGTTGTGATGCGTTTGAACGGAACAAACGGTTTAGATGGTGCGATAGGTTAACATATAGGAAGCTTGTATAGTTTTTTAGATAGCAAGTGATGAAAGGTCAAACAAATCCATACATTACTGTGAAAAGGAGCATCGCTCTTTATTTCGAACGGATAAAGATCGACCTCCTCATGCTCTCTAGCAGTGAGATAATTTCTGAATTGGTTGTTCTGTTTGAAGAAAAAGCGGCTAAGTGGCATCTATAAAGAAAAAAGAGCGTTGATGAGCTGCACGCAACATGGCCAAAAGAATAAAGTGAAATTGAACGTTGAATGGACCTGACAAGACCTCAACACGGCTCAACTGAAAACAGAACCCAAACGCGGTATATGCGTATATTTAGCTCTAATTGATGTTTCTGTAGAGAAACAATAGACTACTCACAACACATTGTTATCGATTCAAAGCTCAAAGATAAAGTGATGAACGAGAGCGCGCAAGCTCAATGCATTACACAGCTGGTTGCATGCACACAACGTGAAAGAAGAGAAGGAAGGAGATGAGGTAAACGGCAACAACCTTGATCGTTTTGTTCTGTAGACGGAGTCCGTTGAAGGAGGAGACGGCCTTGAGGGCGTCGTCTTCGCGACAATAGTTAACAAAACCATAACCAAGACTCTGGCCTGCAACCAGAAACACAGTGAACGTAGACACTAAATCACGCCAATGCCCACCGCTCACGAACCGAACTTAAAACTAAAACAAAAAGCAAATAAAAGGCAAGTCTATCTTCAAAGTACTCCACAGATGTAGTAGTAGTAGGTTTGTTGGTGGGTGTGTGTGTAACAGAGTTCGCTTCGTAAGCGGAGAGCCGAGTTGAAATGTGGGCGTTAGTGCAACCAAAACACTCAAAAAAAGTAGAAGACAACTTATTGAAATACGACCATTCAGACCAAAAGGTCATTTTCAAGGGAAACAGACAGGAAGTATTCAGAAAAAAAACTTAAATTAGAAGACTAAAAGACATGGTAAGCGTACCAACAAAAACCAGCTCTAACAGTAATGACGTAAAAGTTTGATGGGGCTTTGGAAACTAGGTATTGGCATAACTAATAAAGTATTGCCAGGATACTAGCAGGTGTTGTGCAATGTCGATCATGAGATCCGGATTTTATAGGCACTGTGGAACTGGTCAATATACCAATTATCCCTCGACTCGTAAATGGAATGAAAAAACAGAGTAAATAAAGAGAAGAAAAGAAATCAAGAACGATCGTCTTTTGTGTTCTCAATTGTATTGAAACTTGAGAACCGAGACATTCTTGCGGAACTTCATTAGCTGAAGAAATTGTTTTGTTACGACATACTAAAGTTTCTTGTAAAAATGAAATTACAAATTTTTGCCCTAAGCAAATCTTGTACAACTTCGTCTGAAACAGCATTCACCTTGAAACTTCTTTCAAAAAAGTAATTAATGACTCTAGTCACGAATATGACATTCTTTTCTGAAGTTCCTTTAGCGCTCGAATACCGTTCCTCCCTTGAGCCAATTCGATAAAAATGATTTATGTAAGCCGGCCAAGTCATTAGTGCGCCAATGAACGAAAAAGCGTGCAATATTCATGATCAAGGCATTTAATAACCAAATATGTGTGTGTCAAACGAAGTTGGTGGAGAAAAGTGGAGACGTCATTACAGCGTTAAAAAGGGGCAGAAGTGTCACATTCGACCGGTAGCCTATCTACCCCTATAGATGGTTTTAATTAGGGATTTCAATTAGCGCGGCTGTAGCAATTGAGCAGCCTAAAACCTATCAAGAAAGGCATCTATTTGAAAGGATTGATGTGAGACTCGAAGCGAAGATTCAGCAATCTTTAACGCATCCTGTTTGAAAAAAACCTTTTGATAGCCCGTTTTTAGGCGTTTCACAGGCGACATTCAAAATAAACCAGTCTTACTTCAAATGCTTTTTTTCTAGGGCAATTTCAGAAGATATTGTGGAAATGCGAAGATTCTCGGCCCGACCCCAATATGAAAACCTCCCATCAGGAGATTAGAAGAGAGCATGCTGCCGCACTTAAGAAGCCTCCTTCTAAACAACGATGAGGGACACATACATCAGAACGTTGACGCCCATTCATTCGAGAAGTGAGCGATCTTTTGAACAGGAAAACCTCAAAAAAGAAAAAACACCCCACTGGGCCTAAACAGAAATGACCGCGGCGTCTGCTGCTGCCATCAAGAAGCAAAAGTAGATTATTCATGACTCAGTCACAGGAACAAACGTCCAAAAAAAAACTCTGGGAAGGGTTCTGAAGTGAAAGAGAAAGAGAGCGTGGGAAAACGAAACAGCTGGACGTGCTCACCTGTCATTTTATCGCGAACGAGTTTACACGACTCAATTTCGCCGACACTCGAGAACAATGATCGAACTTCCTCTTGGGTCATGCCCTGCGGCAAATAATTGATGATCAGGTTCGTCTTCGACTCTCCGATTTCCACATTGGGAGCTGTGCAGTATCGTTGGGACGGCACATAACTCTGTAACTGCCATCACTGAATACATAACGACAGCCATCTGTTGCTTATTGTTTTACCAACAACCACACTTTCCAGCTAGGACTTATGGGCCATCACCGCCTGCCATTCCAGTTATATTATCTTCGTAATTCTTAGAGTTATGGCATCGTTACTGCTACGCTAACACAAAATTACTGCTGATTTGGCTGATTGCTTCAAGTGGCTGGCGTCAAACGGTCCCAAAACAATTTAACATCCCTCGCCGCGGCTCTGGATTTGATTATATAAGGACGGCGAAAAATTCACACTCTCGAGATGTTCCCCTGGCACTTGCCCTTGAACGTCTTAATGCTATGTGGGAGAACATGACTTACCTTTGTTGGAGTAGAGGTAGTGACGAGGGTATGGCTCAGAACCTTGGCATCCATGCCGCAGCTGGATCAGAAGCGGATGGGAATGAATGGGCAGCTGGCGAGAGAGCGTGAGGAGCGGAGAGTGCGTATGACTAAAAACATCCGTGATGAGAAAACATGAGAATTAAGAGACGCAGACGACGTAGCGCAAAACAGCACGAGACAGCACGTGTAGCAATGAGACGCAGCATTGGGAGGCGGAGCCTGCATGGATATCATGGATAACATATGGCAGGTTGTTAGAAATAAGCTCGACAAAGAGCAGAGACGCAGGAGAGCAGGTGCAGGTGAAGAGCGGGGACCAGAGGCTGACTGGCCCACCCCAAGGGGACGTGGCAGGTGAACAATGGGGGTAACCGCGAGCCCGAATCCACACGCGGACGCACATCGCGGACGGCCACCCACCTCCCAGCCAACCAGCCAGCCGTCCAGGCAGGCATCTATTGGCACTACCGCGAACACTCAATTACGTACGGTACAAACCAGTCGCCTCTCCATCCACCATCCACCGCGAGGTCGTCTGACCGCGTTTCGCGACAATTACCTCCCAATTAGGGCCTATGCAGAGCAACGACTGATCCAAATCTGTGCCTGAGCGGCGCGCCAACGCTCAACATCACAAACAACCACACTGCTGTCTTTTCACAAAGTAACTGGGATCACAGTGAAAAAGGGAAGCACTAAGGACAACCTGGGTGCCATGGAGTTTTGCAATGGCTGCTGGCTGGCTGGCTGACAGGTATTGTGTAGAGGAAATAGGTACACAATGGACGGGAAAGAAAGAGCTATTCATGGTAATTATTAATGGGTAGGTGTCTACCTGGGAGAACAGAAGACGAGTAGGAGCGGTAGAATATTAAAATTGCCCGAGCAAATAAAAACGAAGAAGTAGCAACCATTGGCATTTCAGAAAGATGTGAAATCGGTAAAAAAGAAGCATGAAATGTCTTGGATTGCAGCGGTGAGGGAGAGCTGATTTCATGTTCGCTGGTTTTTGTTGAAAGGAAGTAGAAACTGCTTTAAGTGAAGCGGAAATGTCCGCCGCGAATTTTCCGTGTACTTAAGCATCCTGCTTGAGTTAACGAGTGAAACAGCCATTACGGAGAGAAAGCTCCTAGAAGTGCCTAGGAGATCTGATTGCATTAAGTAGGAGGTGTAAGCGAATTACGATACCTATCGTCAACTGTATCCCCACAGAGGGCGAAGGGCGAAAAGTCCCCCCATCATTATGGATGGGTATAGTAGCCTGAAATTTCAATAGGCATAGGCGACGCCACGAAAAAAAAANTTGGGCGAGTGAAGAAAGATGAATAGACTGGCTTGGGGTCGCTTGAAAGCCCCACCAACAACGACGCATGTCGCACCCAAACGCGCCTCCGGGCGTTCTTCGAGGGGCTTCAGGCCTGGCCCCACTCGACGACCAGACGAGACACACATTCCAAAGAAATTTTTATGGCGCGGGCACGGATAACGCAATTATGCATCCTCCGTGCTCGCCGCGCGTAACAATGCTTCCGAGGTAATGATTATTCCGCTCGGACGAGTAATCGTAGAACAGTGGGACTTCCTTTGGGCTAAATAAGCTGACAGAGATGGGATATCATGCCACAGCGACAAACAAGTCAAATGGAAGCACGTTGTTGCGGTGCTATTTTGGAGAGAGCTTCGGGAGCTTCTCAGAATGAGCCCCACGCCATAGCTTTGGGAGGGAAGACGCAATGACTCTTTGTGTACAGCTCCAAGCCGACGACGAGATGTTAGAGAGTGTGTCGCAGCTGTTCCTTCTGCTATCAAGCGTGACGCTCAATTCCCTTCACTTGTATGCAGTGCTTGACCGCCGCCGCACATCCTTCCGATCTCATTGTGCTTACCAGTAAGCTCCCTGTGGTGACACATGTGCTACAGCTGTAAACTGGGCCGCCAACGCATATATTACATAACTGTGGTGTGGTGCCCTGGCTAGATATCAGGCTTTAACTTCTGCTAAAGACATCGAAATGAATGCAGAAAAACGTCGCTACCAGCGCATTACTGAATGCATGGAGTGGGTGGGGGTATGGGAAGAGAATGGACTCACATGACTGACTCCGACCCGTCTCCCGCAGCTCATACTGAATTATGCAAATTCTAATCCTCGCATGTGTATCCCTCCCCTACATGTCTGTCTGTATCGATGTAAATATATATATATGCAAATCCTTATATCACTAGCGGCTGCGGGTTGTGAAAAACTCTGGGTGAGCACAGCTTTGAAACCTACAAAATTTACGAAGTGATGAAGCGCCAAATCAAGGGGCGTTCAAGCCTTCGCCCACCTTGCGGTGTGGTTAGTCCTCGTGTTTGCAGAGATTCTCCCGGAAAAATTTTCAAAAAAGTAAGTTATCGTAATGATTTCTTTGGAATCGAGTTTTGTTTCAGTCGCAGAAACTAGAAGCATTGTAAATATTCTACCACCTAGCGGTGACAAAAACTCGACGAATCCAGTAGCCTTCCCCATACGGACACCACCTATACGTATAGAAACTGGGGGCTACCTTCAGAGGATATCTCTGGGCTTTCTTTTTTGTGACTTCGTGAGACTGGGACGGTCCCCACTGGTACTGGACTTTGATGCAGAGCCTGGAATAATGGCGGGTATTTGGTCAGCTGATTTGCTCAGGGTTTCAAAAAATTAACTTCCCTATGGGAGTGGGAGATAGAGGCGTGGGTGTTTGAAAGACTTCAAAAAACGAGGTCCGACCGATATTTTCGATGAAGGCTAGGCTTCAAAAAGAAGTTCGATTTGTAGGGTAATATTTAGTAAGTATTCGATCATTCACAAAGCAATGGATAAAAGTGCTTCGCGAACTTTTTTTTTCAATGGTTTACGAATGAAGGGCGATAATATGAACTAGTCATGCATGGCACAGGAAGTGACAGCCGAGGCTCGTTCAATCCTATCATTAGCGGCGACTGAAAGGGACACACACACAGGCCCGGCCAGAGCCAGATACCGTAGGCACTTCCATAATCGGCCGATATCCGCTCAAGCGTCGGTGGATGCGATTTTTCGGCTGAAATTCGAGAGCTCCGTTCGGACGTAAGACGAGATGTGCGGGACGGACGCTCAACACAGACAGAGAGCTTCACCGATGCGTTGCTTTCACGGGTACGAATAGGGATAGAATCGTAATGAGAAGAGCCGAGGCCGAGATGCTCGATCGTCTCTAATCTAGAAAGCTTCGAATCGGAGACATAGCCGCTATCAGTGTCAATTAAGCTGGAATGGCCGAGAGGGAAAGACTAAATGGTCCCGAGAGGCCATAAAAAACAGCATCCGAGGACGACGAATGCCCGTTCTCCTCCGAGTTCAGGAATTCAGGCAATCAATGACAAAAAGGCTTAGTGAAGAGCTTAGGAGTGCTTTGAGGAGGAGAAATATCCCAATTATCGAATTTTTCTACGACCTCTGTCCATGGATTCAAATATGAATTCGATGAATTACTGACGGAATGTGGAGACAATGCATTACACAATAATGAATGGTTCAGTAAAGAAATGAAATGAATGGGAATCTGGTAACAGTTGGAAACCCTACACTAATCAAGGATTGATTTCTCAAGAGGCCAAAGTACATGCGAGCAATTTCCCAGTAAGCTTTTTTTTCTGTAGGACGTTCTCCCACGAAGTTACGAAATTCATGGTTTCCGAGAGAAACAAAATGGAACCAGCCCACCACTCCACCCCCTAAATTTATCTATGCCGAGGTTGTGGTAATGCGATTTCACTGCCACGTATCTTCAGCATATTCGGTGGACCTCGATTTCCGTTAGACATTTCCGTTTTCCGCTAGACGGAATATGGCCAAACAATTCACAGATCGCGACAATCTTCCGGTCTCCATTACCAAAACCTACTCCTCATCATCGTCTCCCCATGACCAGCACAAACAGCAATTTATACTAAGGATGACAGGAAGTGGTTGCCCTGACACTATGATCGACCGATACTATTGTAGACGCTACTCAAAGGAGTGTCTTGCCGACGTGGAAAAGTTGTCCAATATGTATGAATAGATAAGCAGGTCGTAACTACTTAGTAATAGTCAGTACATTGAGGTCCCTCCTCGAACGTCTCGGCAGATCCCCATGAGATAAAAGGTGAGCGAAAAAGGCTGAGCTTCTTGGATGTATTAGACTAATTGAGTACGAAAAATAGTGCAATTATCAGGAGCTCCGAGCATATTCCAGAAGCATTTGCATAAAACTATTGCCGTGAACCTCTTGTCCTGTAAAAAAAGAAAATAAGATAGGGACTTAGGTGCTCCCACATGTGTGGGGTGAAGGCGTGCGAGAACAAGCTGTTTAGGGTGAACTGGCTGAGGCAGGCCGGAGGAAGATCGAACGAAGGCGATGCGTTCCATATGCACAACCTATAGATTGGGTCCCGACAGGACCAATTGAACTATTGCTGTCTGGAAACAGTTAGCCAGTTTCATAAAGGGTTGTACCGATTCAGACACTTTTGTGAAGTTCTTTGTTGGTCTAAAAAGGTAGTTTCGAAGAATCGCGCCATGAATGCGGTTGTTCTCGGAAATCCGGAACTGTTAACCTTGCAAAAATGGCTACCTAACCTGTAGTGAAAACTCGCCTGGTTTCTTGTTCAAGACAGTGGATCGAGTCACGACTTACGCTATGACTGTGATTGAGTTGGTTAATCTCACACCAAGTAGGGTAAAGAACGTTCGTAACATTGAATATGTGCCCTTCACGCGGATAATTTCGATTGTTCTCTGCTTCATTTAAATGGCCCTCCTTTATGACATTAGAAAAAGTACTGAACGCTCCTGGGACCAGTTGTATAAATAAACTTGATAGTAAGGGGACGACTCAAAAGAATCATGGTTTCTATCAGAAAAAGTCGAAATAACAATAAGTAAAATTGGGCGCAATAACAACAAGTAAAATTGGGCGCACTAACAACAAGTAAAATTGGGCCATCAGGCAAACGCAATGGGGTTTATGGTAGGTAGTTGC